TTTTTTTGTCTCAATTTTTCTTAAATTTAACTTTCTTGTTTTTAAAAAGTAATTTTTCAGACCACATGCTCATTTAGTTCGTCAATTCATGGAAAAAAGGAAGTGAAATTTGAATAAAGGTTTAAAAGTAGAAATAATATAGAGAAGAAAGAAATGTAAACCTCTATGTTGGATCAATTTAAGTGTTTTTTGAAGAAAAATTTTTTTTTATTTTCTTCTTCCTTTTACGGTTTTTAACTTTTTATTTAGTTTAAAAGAGGAAATTATACCTTAAAAAATATATACCCAAGTTTTTTACGAGCATTGATAAAGCATTTTTTTAAAGCTGCATTTTTCTTGTCTTCCTGCTCATAATTTGAACGTAACTTCACATTTATACTGTATATTATATAATTACTTTATCAGATACTTTTGTTTGTTATAAACAATATTCGTTTAATAAAATCCCATTAACACTTTCATTTCTAAGAAAAAAACAAGCTGCAACAAAAACAAAATTGTTCAATTTAAAACCTCCTACATAATTGGGTATTTGCAACTCTAGAAAAAGAAAAGCACTGAAATCAAACGGTTGTGCTTAATCACGTGGTTGTGCATGGCATGTTAACGTCACAAATTTGATTTGGTTTATTACTATGCTGAATCAATCCGAAACAGATTTAATTGGATACCTGCAAGCGACGTCACGTGTGTGCGTCGAACCTGATTTGTTGCTGAATAGCGTCGTAAGCAAATGCGACCATTTATCCATGCGTGACGTCGCTTGCAGGTATCCAATTACCGTAAAGAGTTTATGCGTCTATGTTCTACTGCAAAGATACTGTAGTGTTTGAATAGATCGTGTATTGTACATTGTGTATTGCATATAGAATACGTTGCATATAAATGGAAAAACTGTTTTTCACTCACACAAAACTGCAGGTGCAGTTGTCCATCAATCGTAAAATAAATAAGTAGATAAAAAGTTTCAAAAAAATTTTTTTGAAAAATCGCCATTTTGTTATGCATTGTTTTGGAAGGAATAATTATGTTTTTTTCGCTATAATAAATTTATCACTAATTCTAATTTCATATTAGATTTTTTTATAGGGGGGGGGATTTAGATTTATTCTATTGTTTGGTTCAAAAAAATTCTAATAATATGCATTTTTTCTCCACCTTAATTGATGTAACCTTCTAAAAAATGTTCATCAATAAGCTTTTATGCTATCTAATTTCCAGTTAATTTTAAAACAATATAAATCAAATACTAATTTATTCAATCTTCAACTAGTGGAGTTAGAATTTAGCCACTAGAACCACCGCTAAACAAATTATCAGTGGATGTAAAGGAATGGTATACATGCTGTTTTGATTTTAGATTTCGAGTTTTGATTTATATTTTTGTCATTAAATAACCTATTTCCTCATAATTGTGAACATTGCACATAATGGTAATTTTTCATTAAATTCACCTTAGTAACTTTCCTTTAAAAAGATAAATCTAATAAAAAACAATGAAAATGTTTACAGACTAATATCTTTCAGTTACTTGGACCCAGTGATTAAATTTTCTTAATTTCTAACCCTGTTTATAAGTCCTGATTATAAAAAAGTCAGCAAGCAAACATGATACGCTAAACCACACAATTATTTTTAGCATTGGAATGTAATTAAACCCGTATCAACAATTACCGTGGGACAAAAAAGAAAGAAATTTCGAAGTCGACATGCACGAAATTTTATTAGAGAGCAAACGCGGGAAAAAAAATAAAACCAAGAATCTTCTGTTATGAGCAATCATAAATAAGATGAATGCCAACGCCGCACAATGAGGCAGTGGGGATAGAAACTAAAGAAGTAATTGCTACTTTAACATTCGGCGACAAGCACAAGAAAAGTATATTATAAATGGTGTCTCATTTGTTCTCTTTTAGAAAATATACAAAGACCACTCAGAGATCTTAAATAAGAATGAAAAAAAAGCTAAGTGAGTTTTGAAATATGAGAAACAATCGCAATAAAGGCTCTCATTAGATAATAAAAACCTTGTCGCCGGCAGTAAAGAATAGAATAATTCCATCGCCTTTAAGTGGCTATAAAAATGAAAATAAAATAAATAAAAAAAATCATTAAATAAATAAAAAAATTACAGAGGCAATAATCTGTAAGTGCATATTGATAAAAATAGAGTCTTTGGGAAAATAACAGATCTAAAGCAACAAATAAATAAGGAATTAAATCTTACACTTGACATAAGTTAATCCTCAGAAAAGTGTTTTCACTTCATGTTGACCTACGGAGAATAGTATGCCCAGAATTTCCGAATTTGTTCAGTAACTGATTAATATTTTTCTTTAATTTTTGTTTCACTTTATTCATTGAACTTAGTTACCGAATTAATAATTTTAAGATTAAAAAGATTTGAAAATACTTCGAAGATTTTTAAAGATCGTGTTTTATCACCAAATAAGCATATTTCATCATAATTGTGTACATTAAAAGTTGTCTTTTTAATAATTTTCCCTTCAAATTCACTTTTTTCTTTCTAAAAAAAATTAATCGACATATGATAACAGACCAGTGAAAATGTTTACCCGGACTAATACCATCGTCAAATCACTGGTTTTTCGGACCAGTGACTGAATTTCTTTTAATTTATACCATCGTCAAATCACTGGTTTTTCGTACCAGTGACTGAATTTCTTTTAATTTATACCATCGTCAAATCACTGATTTTTTGGACCAGCAACTGAATTTCTTTTAATTTCTACCATCGTCAAATCACTGTTTTTTTCGGCCCAGTGACTGAATTTCTTTTAATTTCTACCATCGTCAAATCATTGGTTTTTCGGACCAGTGACTGAATTTCGTTTAATTTCTAACACAGCACAAACAAAATAAGCGCACTATATCCATTTAAACTGGGGAATAAAATCAATATTTTAATATAACCCGAAATGTGACTTTCGTTGAGTTCGAAGTAACTTCAATGTACATCTTTTTCAGCTGTCAAACAGTTTTGAGTTTAATAAACTGAGTTGAAAGTTCGTTAAGGAAAACCCGCATGACTAAGTTAAGGTAATAGAACAATAGAACCGCGTGATGTTTATTATGATCGCCCACAGGAATGACCTTACATTCAGGGTAGATTCAATTGTCAAGGACATTCGGATAAAAATATAAACAAAACAATTACAGGCATGCAAATTGTGTTATACATTGTCAGTATAGGGTGAAATTAGGACGTTTCGCTACTGACCAGTAGCTACTCCACGGTTGCAGCATTTTTAACAAAGGCCACTTTCTTTTAAAATTGAAAATTTCGAATGATTAAAAAAACTTGATCTTAATCCTGTATAAGGCATTTTTTAGAGCATTTCTCAAAATATGATAAATATTACAAAGGTTCATTTCTAAAATGAAGAAAATATTTAAGAAGCAAACGAGAAATAAAGTAATTTTCAGAATGTTATAAAATATTCAAATACATTCCATATTTATTTTTTTTAAAAATAATAAAAACAAAATGCGCCATGCAGTGCATTTTCAACGGAAAAATTGTTAATTGGCAGGCAATTTTGTTGGCCATTTAATAGCTTCATCATTCATAATTGGTAAATTTATTTTCACATATAATTATATCAGTTGGAATAATTTTGATTGACGCTAAATTTCATGACGACGCCAACAGAAGTGCCATTTCAGCATCAGGAAAATGACACTGACTAAAATTAAAATCGTTTTGCAAAAAATCATGTAACAATTTTGAAGTCAATCGAATTAATCTCTAAGAACGATCATTTTACTGTGGAACGGAGGGTGGTCGCTCCCGAGAGGTTTCGATTTACGAAGATTTTTCTAATTGGTAGCCATACTTTTGTTATAGAACGCTCACCATAGAGCAGTGTTTCCCAAACTTAAGACTTTTGTGTACCCTTTCTAAATTTTTCGTAACGCTGAGTACCACTAATAAAAAAAATTAATGAATTTTTTACTATACAAAAATTGCACAAAAGTTAAAAATCACAATAGGCTGTTGACGTTAATTATTAACTGTTAATTCTGCAAAAAATAGCCAATAGAGAAATACGTAAGCGTAAATTTTCATGGCTAGCTTTGTTTTTAAATAAAAAAATTTAGAAATTTTTATTTGTTGCAAGATATTTCGCATAAGAACGCGTACCCCAGCTGAACTGTTCCCGTACCCCTGGGGGTACGCTTACCACATTTTGGGAAACACTGCCATAGAGCAGTGCTCCCCAACCTTTTTATCACTACGGACCTGTCAACGTTTGATAATTTTACAGCGGCCCGGTGGGGGGACAAACGTTGATTGTTTATATTTTAAATCATTTTGGTTTATTAATTTTAATTTAATTGTATTTAAACATGCCTTCAAAATAAAATACAGTTACACCAAAAAATAAATATAAAGTGATTTCACATTTTAACTTAGTAGAAAGTCAGATCAATGACAACCTTGAGCTTGTTTCTTTGCAATGAGACGGTTCCGTCTGGGGGTAATCGGAGACAATGACAACCCGAAGTGTGTTGCTTACGCCCAGCTTATTCGGTTGCCTTGTTTCGGTTGCTGTCACTGCAAAAAAACCCTCTTCACACAGATAGGTTGTCGGAAATGGCAATTTAAGTGTTATTTAGGGATTTAAGTGTTGTGGTGGCAATCTCGAGGTATTCTGCCAATCTCGGGGTATTCTACCTTCGGGGCCCCCTTTTTTTAATAAATAAAATTTTAATGAAACACAGATATTTTTACTTTGGGATATAAACCTAGGAGTTTAAATTCAGTTTCAATGAAATGGGCGGCCCGGTACCATTTGATCCACGGACCGGGGGTTGGGGAACACTGCCATAGAGCACCCTCATCGAAGAACGAATAAGAGATATATAGAAACAAAACATTATAAGAAACGGTCGCCAAATTGGCGAACTATCTTTTACATTTCGACAACAGTAAATTCAGATGCATGACATTTGACAGTTTCAATAATTTTTCTTACCTCGTCTGTTTCTGAGACATCGATGCTACCGTTAGCGTCGTCATCTAATTGTCGATGGAGACCTCGAATCGCTTCGTAGCCAATCGGATCGTCACAAGCATTCACAGTAGCACAATTCCAATCTAAAAGAATTTTATAAAATTAAATTATTAAGAAATGAATGCTTTTTATCATATTTTTGAACAATAACTATTTTAATTAAACTCGCGAAGTCATTAATGTTTCCATTTCAACATAAAATTTCAACTTTCTCAGAAAAAAACAGTAACGAAGGCTCAGATTAAAACGTGTTTTTAACTACTCGAAAATAACTAGCCAATTTAAAGGAAATAACGTACTTTAAATTAAAAAAAACTACAGAAATAATATTTTTTTTAAAAAAAATTTAAACAATTCTAGTGCACTAATAAGTTATAACTTGAAAGAAAAAAATCAAAAGTTAACCTGAAATAAAAAACAATTTAAGAGTGAATCAAATAAATAATCATTCAGATTTCAATAAAAAAAATAATTCTGAAAGAGTAAACGAGTAAGAAAAGATACAACAAATAATAAATTTATTAAAAAAATTAAAAAAACGCATATGCCACAAGAAAAAGTATAAATTGACTATAATGACTAATGACATTAGATCTAAATTCGTCTAGACTGCTTTAATATTAATCTTCGCACTTGAAATGGTGACATCCTCCGCTGTAAAAGGAATAATTCAATATAATTGTTATTAATATTAATCTAACAATTTGTTTACCATGAAGAAACAAAAATAATTGCTTAGCCATCACGATGGTTGGTGAGCGGAGCGAGCATGCGCCACAGCCTCCAACTTCATAAATTTAACCCTTTCGTGGACATTGGGAAGACTACTTCCCATTTACATGATCCTACAAAATACACCTATGGGAAGAACAAAGCCAATCATAATATTATAACGATAGGAACATTAATCTTCGCTTCAGTTTGGTGCTGCCATCTATTGTTCAATCGAATGAATGGGATTAGCGTATTGATATTGGAAGCCTTGAGTGAAATTAGTTCTGTTGAGACAACTGTTTTTCATGTAACATTACAAAAATTTCTCAAGAAAAGGGAAAGGACGCTTCCCTAGCTTCCAAGGAAGAAGTGCGCAGTTCCAGTTGATGTGCTCTTAGCCAGCGCAGAAAATCATATGATGCTAAAGATGGTTTCCTACCACAGATGAAATTGGAAATGGTAACGTAAAGGGACAAGAAAAGAAGATCAGCTAGTGTGGGCAGAATGTTGTTTCTAAATCCACTTGATCCAGTCCTTAGCTAGATCGAGTCCAGAAGACCGTTCACCCACAAAAAGTCATGAACCAGCACAGGATTTTCAAAGAGATTACACTTCTCCAGCTTTAAACAGGAGAGCTTGAGATTATGGAGCAGGTTGGTGTGAATTACACATGGGGCTCACGGGAAACTGCTTTTGTACTGAACGTATAAAAGTGTACGAGTATGTCCACTAATGAATCTGGTAATGTCTGTAATTTTTTATCGTCCTTTAGCTCCAGGGCAGTCCCAGGACGTGTAGAATGTGATGTACCCTTGGGCATTTAAATGTGCTTGGCATCTTTTAACGGCAATTCCCTTACATTTAATTTTATTTATGGCTTTGTTTTTTGTTTTAAATTTTCCGAAGACTCTTACTAGCTCTTCGGGATATTTCCCTGAAATTTCAATGCAAACATTTTTTTATTTTTTATTTCCTATGAGCTGCACAACCAGTCTTCCCGATGAGCAGACCTGGTGCGTTCTCCAGAAGTGGTATCCACTCTTTCAGGACCACCACAGTGGGTGAGATACAGTTGGCCATGCTAATTTGGACGTCTAGTTTCTGCCACACTAGATGACAGCACCGAGACTCTATTTGGATGCTAAAGTGCACAAGTAATTTAATTTTCCCGGAAATGCCAAGAGCCAATAAGGCACTCCAGAGATCTTTTACATGCCGCATAATCATACGACATGGCCGCTGAGGATTTTCTGCATCCCGAAAATCCTGTGTCTGGACCGGGGATCGAACCCGCTCACTTGGGCTCAGAAGGCCGACGACAAACCAACTGCGCCACCCAGCCAATACAAACATTGTATTTGATAAAATAAAATATGTTTCCTTAAATGATATTGTTTAATTGTTGATAAAACGTTAAAAAAACAGGTATGAATAGCAAAGAAAAATAATGGCCCACGAAAGGGTTTAATATAAAAGTTTTGTCTGAGCATTTATTTCATAGCAAAAAGCAATTCGATGCTGATTAAACACGAAGTCAATGAACGCTGATCAGGCATGATATCCATTCATTTAAAAGTAGCCATCATATAAAAAAAAGGAAGAAAAAAAAGTAGCAGGTATGAAGAGAGAAAAAACACTGTTGTGATGCAAATGAATGTTGGCTACGAACTTACGAACATTGAAAAGTAGATGACTGTTTGAATGGCATCATGATAAAAAAAAAAGAGAAAAAGCACTTGATTATGAGTCGGCACACGTGATCATGTCAAGTTGATTTTTCCTCAGACATTCAAAGAATCGCAGAAACTTAATACTATTACTTTCAATTTTTCTTAACACTGATTCAACAGAGTAAAACTTTTTAAAAGATGTCATGAGCAATGGTACATGCGTCACTGATTAATTGAAAAATGCGGCTCGCAGCAAATTGTCACTTTGTAATGCGCCTAACAAGGTTCTCTGGAATAGGCTTATCAAATAATATCGTCAGTTTGCGAAGAACCAGATTTTCCAATTAACCGATGACATCATACAAACACACATATTGATAGTGCAATGACAATTTATGTACAGTGGGTAATAAAAAAAAAGAAGAGAGAACTGCCCTGAATAACTTTTGGTCAACTGATCGGATCTTCACACTCTAGGACTCAATCTTAATGGTTCGAAAGGGGTGACCTGAAATATGCTAATTAGTGCAGATGATATTTTAAGTTACGAAATCAGACACAAAACGTACTTTCTCTCAATAAACATACCATTTTTTCGACGGATTCCTGATTCCCAAAATATAGGGGAAAGCCACAATCTGGGAAATATGTCCCCAGTAGTTAAGTCACGAGAGAGCTTCAAAGTTTGAACCTCTAAATGTTCATTTTACTTTTTGCGTATTTCACTATACCTCGAGAACATTTTAAGCGAATTGAAAAATTCTTGCACACAGTTATAAAATTCGTTTATCTAAAGATAATTCCACGCAAAAAATAATTTTTGGTAAGTATTTATTATTTTTTAATATTTTCTTTAATAAATTAGAGAAAGTACGTTTATGTGACCGATTTCGTAACTTAAAACATCATCTGTACTAATTAATTAGCATATTTCAGGCCACTCAAGCCAGCCATTAAGATTAAGTCCTAGAACGTGAAGATCCAAGAACGTGAAGATCCAATCATTAGATTAAAAATCATTCAGGGTACACCTTTTACTTATTTTTTCTTGTGCATTGCATAATGACTAAAATGTTTTATTCTTCTGTTTGGAGTGTCTGGAAAACTTTCTGACAAATCAAATTTTGAAAGCATACCATGCAAGCTATAAATCACAGCCTAATTTATCTATAATATGAATAGCAGACAAGTATTTTAACATAAGAGAGAACTACACATTATAAGCGATGACAAAGCGTGTGAAAAAATACACGTGCCAAATTTATCTAAGAAGTTTAATAACTTTATAGTTCGTACTTTGAAATGGGAACAGATAAGAAATAACATCCTTTAAACTGCAGGAAGGAGGGAATTTCTTCAAAGAGTTTCAGAACTCAAGAAAAAAGAAAGCACAAAAGTATCGAAAATTTTTCACCGTGTATATCAGGGTAGGCTAGTTTTTGACAATTAACGGTTTTATCCAGTTTTAATCATGATTTAACCGTCATATTAAAAACCTCTTTCTGACTTAATTTTTGACAAATGTCAAAAACTTAAAATTTTGGTGTAGAAAACAAATATTAGTTCTATGAATCTGAACTGATGTTAAATAATAAATAAAAAAAACTCATGAAATAATTATAATAGTAAAAAAATTCATGTTAATAATTATAATGCAAGTACTGTGCATGATTTGAACAGTTATGTAGCTCGATGTCTAATGAAATATCCCTACTGACAAGAAAGAAACATGTCACACATTTTGGACAGTTTTTACCAGATTTCAGCAGTTTATCACAGTTTTTGACAGATTTTTGACCCAACCCTAGTGTGAATACTGAAAACATGAAAGATGCTATATGTAAAGATGAGGAGGAGATTCATACTGAGTTTAAAGAAATAGGAGAAATGACTTCAACAAATGTTAGACATCCAATTTGATGCACAATGTGTTAAATTCAAATAATTTTATACTTCAATTGTTTCCTTTTAAACTGGAAAGTTTCGTAGTCAAAATTTTATAAAATAAAAAATTGACTAGTTAGTTAATCACAGAAACTGAAAAAGAGCTAATAAAGAGTAAATGTTAATCAATTTCCAGTAATTAAATGCCAAATTAATAGATAAAATACTCGCAAAAAGTTTAATAGACGCATTTAAGTTTTCCTTTATTTAATAGCTCCTTTTTAAACTATAATGCTTTATTTCATAAAAAAAAAAAAAAACTTTTTTAAATATTATTTAAAAATTATGGCATCATAAGGACCTTATTGTCTCGTACAAATGCAAAACATACAGAAAATTTGTCATATTAATACAAAGGATGTTAAATAAATCTAAATCAGTTATTGTCCCTTTAAAATAAATGTTTTAAACCCAATTACTATAAATTTAATTGTAAATAAAAAGTAAAAAAATAAATGAAGCGATGGTGTAAAATAGAACGTCAGCGGCTTTTCAGAAAAAAGAACAAAATATACAAAAATAAAAACTATATTACAAGAATTGTATTCAGGGGTCTGTTTAAAAGAAATTTGGGTCCGTTAACGGACCCTTCACAAAATATCTTTTCATAAAAACGGACCCTTCACAAAATATTTTAACTTAAAAACGGACCCTTCACAAAATGATTTTTCTTTTAATCGGACCCTTCACAAATTTGTTTATCTTCATTATTATTTTGTTAATCGAATAAACCCTTTCCAGGGCAGAAAACAAGA